AGAGGATGTGGTTTTGAGATATGTGAGTGGTTATTGGCTGAATCTATCCCCCCAAAATAGCGAACATATCCCAGATCAGGGTCGAAATCCAAGGGCCCCAATTGCAGGAACTGACACATGTTAGCTGTTTTTGGGATTTTTTGGGTCAATGGTCCCCAAAAAAGTTGCAATGCATTCCCCAGGAAATCCAGGAAAACGCCGGTACCGAGTGGACATGTTAGTTGATACCTGAAACGGTAGCCCGAGATACGTATCCACTTTTTTTGTGGATACTTTAGCTGCTGTGAGCATAGGCTATGATAAGTGCCCTATACTTGAGACATGTTAGCTGAAAATCCAGAATGGACACCGGACACGTTAGTGGAAAAGTTGTCCCCCCCCTCTGGGGGTTCCCGGGAAATTGCCAGAAGACTACCGCCCCGGACGCCCCAGCATCCTTATTTCCAGACCCCAATAGGGCTCAAATCAAAGACCGCATTGATAACAAAACGGTGGAGAAAAAAGGGGCCCCAACTCCTTCCGGAAGAGCGCATCATAGATGATGCTCGTGAGTGGGCAAGAAGATTGGGGTGGGGGTGCATTCCAAAAACTAGTTGCATTTAGTAAGGGTTGGATGACTAGCCACGGAAAGCGCCCACCTAACGTGTCCGTGTTGTTCAGAGGATGTGGTTTTGAGATATGTGAGTGGTTATTGGCTGAATCTATCCCCCAAAAATAGCTAACATATCCCAGATCAGGGTCGAAATCCAAGGGCCCCAATTGCAGGAACTGAGACATGTTAGCTGTTTTTGGGTCAATGTGTAAAAAAAAAGTTGCAATGCATTCCCCAGGAAAACGCCGATATAAAGTGGACATGTTAGTTGATACCTGAAACGGTAGCCTGAGACACGTTTGTTCCCGGGAGTGTAAGGGATGTGCGCGTTCACGCATACATGCAAGAGCCTACTAATGGCATCATGATCATCGTGCCCGTCCAGAATTCAAGCAAAAAGTTTAGTGCAACAAGTCTAGGAGCGGAGCCTAAAAACCAAACTGACAATTGAATACACTACACTAATCTAAACTGTACTGTGCTATATTATAATGTAATATATATATATATATTATTTGTTATTCCAAGGATTTTGCGAGCACGCCCATGGTTTCTTTGATCCACCTCGATGACCAAAAACTTCCGGACACAGCTGACAAGTGGAAATTCAACCATATTTGTCTGAACTTTAGATGTTCAAAGGTTGGTTGTGAAGATCCCCTCTGCGGTTTGACACATTTGAATTTCTTTCAACACTTGCATTGCATGATTGATGGCCATCGGCGGTTCTCCTGGCCATTCTGGTCGCACTGAGCATTCTGTAGCATGTCCACAGCTGCCGCCTGCACCGCCAGTGCCATCAGTGGTGGCACTGACGCTCCCACCAAATCCTGCCTTTCCGCAACCGGAGTCACAAAATCTGAGGACCTCCGAAGCTGCTGTCAGCTGGGCGAATACGTGGAATTCTAGAGATTTGGGCCTGCGCTCAGCAAATTTTGCTTTCAAGATGTATGCAGGGCATTTCACAGGTAGGTAGGGACAATGTTGCTAGTTAGTTGTGCCAAAATTTGCCACGGCAGGATCATCCTCCAATCCATTCGCGGACAAGCCACCGTGCTGGAGGTCCAGCGGTGGGGATGTGCTTCACTAAGAGACCTGGCACAAGCAAGCTCAGAAGATCGTTCTTGGCTCGGTCGCCTTGGGGGGATTGAGCTGGTGCTCAATGCCATGCGGACCTTCGAAGCGGACACGGAGTTGCAGCAGTCTGCCTGCGGCGCATTAGCCACTCTGAGCTATGAGAACCAGGTCAACACTAAGGCTGTGTTACAACATGGCGGTACCGAGTTGTTGTTGCGCGCTATGCATGGCCACAGTAGCAGTCCCTCTGTGCAAGGCTTGGCTTGTTACGTTTTGAGGATACTGGCATTCTTGGAGGAAGGTCGGCATCACATGGTCCAGCTCGGTGCCATTGAAACCATTCTCATGGCACTACGGAATCACATTGGCGATGTGGACGTCCAAGGCTCCGGTTGTGGAGTTCTTGGTCGGTTGACTGCATGTTCTTCAGAGGATTTGGCGAAAGTAGCCTCAGGTGATGGACTTGGCGTTGCTCTAGGTGCACTTTCTGCCCATCCACGTGATGCTCAAGTGCAGGCGTGTGCTTCAGCACTTGTTGGAAACTTGGTCCTGGCTGGACCACAGTCAGTGCAAGAAATCGCTCAAAGCAGAGCAGCAGACTTAGTGGTTCAGGCTTCAAAGCACGAGTCTTTAGAGGCTCAAAGCTGTGCTGTCAATGCACTAAACAACATGTGCCTCAGAAGCGAACATTGTATTGCTCAAGCTGCAGTCTCGGGAGCTTATGCTTCTTTGGCAGCCACCTTTCAACCCACAGACGAGAACATCCAATTGCTGACAATTACAGTCCTTTATTTGCTGACAACAACAGATCAAGGTGATGTTGGGGATTTTGTGCAGCTGCAAGGCCTGAGCCATTTGATTCCCACCATGATGCGCTTCATGTCTTCTTTGAAGGTCCAGGAGCAGATTTCTTCGATCTTGCAGAGTCGCAGCCTCAGACCATTTTGATTCAAAATGTGTACCTTGCATTACCTTGCCATACCTTGCCATTTGCAGTTGCAAGATGTTGCAAGTCCTTTCATGTCCTTTCACTTCAGAGCACAGCATCACACCCGAGATCGCGAAAAATCATCCAATTCACTGTAGGAATCGGACATCGTGCGGAGATGTTGGAAGAAATACTTCGACAGGGAGGGCTTGATGGCATTTTCACTGCAATGCAGGGTCCTTAAAGATCTTACAGTAAGGTCAGCTGTGCAGCGTTTCTGATCATTTGCATCATCAACAGCTGGCCCTGTCAGACCTGTGTGTTTGGACGCTGCTGCAGGCATCGCTATCCGCTATCGGCGAGGATTCAGGCAGTGAGAGAAAGGGGGAACTGAAGTGCCCAAGAGATCCCAAGAGTGCAAATGGATGAAAACGATTGAAAACGATGAAAGTAGATGCAGAGGTCCTGAAAGCCAGGCCTGGTGAGATGTATATAATATGATTTAATGATATATTTATATATTATTATATATTATGATATATATATATATTATGATTTATAATTATATATATTTAATGATTGTGCCGTGTCGAACATGTTCGGCATCGAATCGCAAAGCTGCGCAGGTGTCTGGATGCTATTTGGCATCACGCTGGGCACGTGCCAGTGAGGGCCTCGGCCCCTCCAGGCAGAAAGGTGTTGTCAACTGTCGGATCTGTCGGATCTGTCGGATCTGTTGGATCTGTTGGCATGTTTTGCCAAAGGTCTAAAATGGTCTAAACAATTCTAAACATTTCCATCATTTCCGTAAAAATGATCAAAATCTGAGTCTTCTGAAAAAGGGTTGAGGAACTGAGGAAACGTCTTGGATGTTGGATGATGTTGGAGTCTGCACGAGGCCAGGACGGGGCCCAAAGAGTAGCAGAAGGAGGTGGAGTAGAGTTGGTTGCCTGCAACTTATCGAGCTTGAGATAGCTTGACATTCGTTTGACATTCGTTTGACATTCGTTTGATCGGATTGGATTGATACTTTCTTTGACGTGTTTGAGAGCCCTTCCCAGCACCTCGGCCACTTCACTCAGGCGCTTGCCATGCAGAACCACCTTGCTGAGGTGGAGATGGATTCTCTTCTCGTAAGCGTTTCGAAGGGGCAGACACCACTGGGTTTATTCAGTTTTTTTTGCGTAAGTAGTACGGAGTTTAATAAATAGAGATGTATACACCATGATAGACATTGATAGACCATTTTATGTTTTTTTTTACGTTGTTTTATATGCTTTCTATATTTTTCTATGATATTTCCCTGGAAGCTGATCCAGGAGTACAGTTTTAAAGCATTTTTTTCAAGCGGTCTGAACGTTTGCTTGTTAGCCTCAACTGGGCTCCATACAATTATAATCAATTATATACAATTAAGGTAGCCATCTCGGTAAGCCTTGTGCATTCGTACGTTCATTCTGAATTCCTGAACTCCGTGCATCGCATGGAGGGAACAAACATGAACAAACTGTCCAGGTGGATGTCCAGGTTTTTGGATGCATGATGCTCAAAGCCGTGGCTGATCAAGTTGCTGAGAGTGAGAAACTCAGTGCCTCCCAGTCCCGTCAAGATCCACTCACCCCACTTATCCCACTTACTTGATTCTGTAGTTTGATTTTGTATGATTTTGTACTTGATTCTGCCACGATATGATACGTGTTGATACTGTATGCGTCTTCATGTCATATACTCCGATGGTCTTCCATCCGGAGCCTATCACGGCATAGGCGGTATAGGCGTATAGAATCGTATAGATGGCTTTGCTCATCCAGTCTTTTGGGTTTGTCAATTTGTGGCGGATGTGAGCAGCATGAGTATCATGAGTATCTTTTTGCCAATCGAAGTCTTTGCATTGTTTCGAACTGGGCCCATATGGCAAGATCATCATGCAATATAACATGCGCAAAATTTTCCATGCAGCTCCTGCTGTTTTGCTCGGTTGTCTCGCTTGTGCTTCTTCTTGCTTTGTTTGAGCCTCGGTCTCCATGGACTATGTTGCTCTTCCAAGGCCCTCAGGTCATTGCACACTTCGGCGGAGTGGAGGCACTTTAGAGTGTGTGATGTGTGTGTGTGTGAAACATCTGAAGAGATGTAAAACTTCTAACTGTCGTCTTAGTGTGTGTGTGTGTGCGTGTGCGTGTTTAGCTTTAGTGCTTTGTGTGCGTGCACACAAATGGGGCCACCTTGTGACATTGTGACTTTGCACAGTGCAGTTGATGTGAGTCGGGTGTGAGCTTCGCAAGACTGCACCTTTCCGCTGGCACGGGGCTTATTATAATCTTATATAATCTTTTACAGTTATACAAGGGGAAATGTCCCTTTGACGTACCTGCAATGGTCAACCCTGGTATATATATGAGTTCATTTCAAGTCAACATGGCGTGGGGCTAAACCGGGACCCCCAACTCTGAGTCACCGTAATTAATCTGTTTTTGTTGATGAACTTTGTGACGATACGATGATGGTACTATTTCCTGTTCAAGCACCCACCATGGGTATACCAAGTCTACATCGGGTTTGACAGATTCGTCCAAGGCTTTGACTTAAGTTAGAGACTTGGGCGAATGCGTTTTTTTTTGCTAACCAGTGCTTGTGATACTATACCATCATCATATTTAACAAATATCTTGCTGTTTTTCCATGACGTTGCAACCAAACATATCCCACTGTGATTTCTGTTCTGTTCAAGTTTGTGTGAATTTGTCATATGAATCGATACAAGTATTCTGGATTTCCTTCTGTCTACGTTTGTTCCCCAGGCAGTGCTGCGGAGTTTGCAGCGGCACGCAGAGGACGTCAAACGTCGGTCTAAATAGCGCAAAAGTGCAAACACATTAGATTGCCATACGCCCACCAAGCTGTATCCAGCGATGGTGCCAGAGCAAATAGATGCAAATAGACCATTGCTAGATTTGCCATCTACAACAACAAGTTTTCGCGACCTCCAGGAAGGACAGCTTCAAGAAGTTGGGGTCCGTGCGTTTTGATCTCAGATTTTTTAAAAAGCAGATGACGGGTGTGCAAAAAGGAAAAGGAAACCGAATCGTTTTGTGGACTTTTCACATCTTCGTTCATTGGTCTACTCATGCATTTTGGTTCCCTTCATTATATGACAAAAACTTGTATGATCTCAATTTTGACATGCTTTGGGTACCTCTGAGTCCATGCCTATGCTGACTTCTTCGTCGCTTTCTACAATCATTCATGTTTTGTTTTGAACATATGCACTGTATAAATAACTAGAAATATATTAATGCACAGTAATGCACAAACACATTTACAATCATACATAATATATATCTATATATAGATAGATACACAGGGTCACATAGGTATACCTATATACTCGTATCATACAATGTATGATGTATATTTACATACTTAGGGGGAGAGAGAGAGAGAGAGGAAGAAAAAGAAGAAATATATGTTTTATTCATTCCTGTTGATTTATTATTTGATTATATTTTACTGTAGTTGCCAAGTCCTTTGAAACTGCTTACATCTACGGTTTCATCAAAACGCGCAAAGCAGCACCCTTTTGATGCAGGCCAAGCTGTGTGGATGGGGCCAGCTCACACCTACCCACCCCTTAAATTCCTGAGATGCCTGCAACATCCTGCAACTCATTGCACCTCGATAGAAATGGATAAGGTTGGTCGATAGGTAGCATATGATTAGCATATGGTAGCATACTCTCAGGTACTGATACCATCTGATACCCCTACTGGATCGTACTGATATCATCTGATATCCCTTTTGGCATCGCTTGACTTGGAGACAGCTCCACCAGACTTTCAACTCACCAGGTACAGTAGCACAGTTGCAGTAGCCCACCGTGTATGCCTGTGTGTTTCCAAAGAACACCAAACACAATCAAACTATATCAAACTCACGTACGCGGACGTGCATCAATCCTTGCTCACAGATACAAAGGCATTTCAGAGTCGTCCTAAAACCCACACAACTTTGGACCTTGGATTGCCTTAAAACGGAGGTTTGCACAAGGGTTTCCAAAGGCTTGGTGCAAGGATGTATGTGGCACATGACATGAAAGAACCCAAAAAAGATCAAAAAAGGATAAAAAAAAGGACCGCGCCGTGGCCGCGCACGATTCGCACACGGTCTGCCATGTCTGCCCAAGAGTTGCCCAAGAGCAGTTTTTGGTGAATTATATAATTTTGGGCATGACAAGCCCCATTTATAGATTTTATAGAAGCACACGCTCACACAAGGAAATTGTTGCGTTTTTTTCCCAACAGCAAAACTTTGCTATGGGGTCTTTAGCCCAGATTAGCTCCAGTGCGATCCGGTGCAGCTTCAACACCAGGTTCCGGACAATGTTCCGGAGGTGAGGTTCCGGAAGGTTCCGGTGCCGTGCGGTTCCGGAGGGTTCCCGTGCAGATACCTTGTGAGGTTCCGGAGGGTTCTGGTGCAGATGCTTTGTGAAATTCCAAAGGGTTCCGATGTTTTTTTGGACATAAGGTGGCATAATCCCTTCCCATTTAATACTAAACGCCCCCCCTATTAATAAACACTTCAGGTACTTTTTATTATTAGGGTGGTATTTTATTATTAGGGAACCCGATTAATAAATCAAAAACATTTAAAAACCTTAATAATAAAAACTAGTTTGTTCGATTTGAAAATCAATTAAATTTCCTTATATAACGCAATTAAAATATTGCCAAAAATTGGTTTTCGAAGCGGACCCTATTAATAAATTTAAAACCTTAATAGTAAAAACTAGTTTGTTCGATTTCACAATCAATTAATTTTCCTTATATAACGCAATCAGAATATTGCCAAAAATTGGTTTTCGAAGCGGGCCCTAATAATAAATTAAAAACCCTAATATAAAAAAATAAAAATTCTCGGACGGACCCTAATAATAAACACCCCGGGGTCAACTAGTTTTTACTATTAGGGGGCAAAACCCACAAATGGTAGCTTTATTTTTTAATTGTTGTCTAAAGGAAATCAATTAAAAGTCAAATTGGCCAACCTGAAATTTTCCAAACTGGGAGATGGACTCACCCTAGTTTTTAGTATTTGGGGACGTTTAGTAATAGGGGAAAGGATTAAGCACTTATTTTTTATGGCATAAGCGCTTAATTCTTATGGCATAAGCACTTTTTGTGGCAAAAACGCAGAAGCTTTCAAGCTGTTGGGGATAGCACCTGAGATTATTTTTCAAATTTGCTACTTTCAAATGTGCTCAGACTTTGCAGCGTTGGACAACAAGACTGGATATGCAGGCGCCAAGTGGCATGATGATTTGACATTTTTGGCTTAATGTGCGGTTTTGCAGATGCACAGTCTGGATGCAAAGATTTTGCAGGAAGAAAGTGGTGGACTATGGTGTGCCACTTAGTTCACCCTGCCATGTGCGGAACAAGATATTAGAATTATTAGAGTTACCGAGTGCAGGGTCGGGAAAAGAATGGAAAGCACTCCATGTGACTGCAGCCATGGTGTGAAGACTTCTGGCTCCAAATTGCACCAATGAATGAATCGATTGACCGATACATGGAATGTAAGAAATCTGGCACGCTCAGGAATTTTAGTTCTGCACCACATCATCCGCGGTCCATGGGCGTATATAAGGTGTTGGTGTGAAATGGTGTGACTTTTCGAGCATGGAGTGCGGAGTCATGCGGAGGGCAGATTTCCATGTACGGAAGTGTGTCGGATGTCCGGGGGAATGCTGGCGCGCCTTCATCCGTTTCCTGTAGCGGCCGTAGCGGTAGCGACGCCACAAGATGTCATGGGGTGCAAGTGCAAATCGGTGCAATATGGGTGCCATCATTGTGCCATCATTGTTTGGATTTGTTTGGCTCATTGCCTTTGGTCATTGAGTTTGTTTACATCGTCTCGGAGCTTTTCATCCTTCACCTGATTGTGTGCCGGAGCAAGGTTTGCCCAATGATCCCAGTCTGCAGCTCAAAGCCCTCACATGTGAGGAATCGACTGAGAAAGCGAAAAGGGTGCAGTATTTCAATAGGGTTCAACGCACAGGGGCACAACTTACAGGACAATAATATACAATGGAGGGGTATTTTTTTTTGGCAATGTTTTTTTTTTGGGCAATTTTTGTTTCTTTTGGCTTCTGGCTTTTGGCTTTTGGCTTCTGGCTCCTTTGGTTTCTGGCTTCTGGCTTGTATTTGCTGCATTTTGGAGCCAAAATCTCTGATTTGCGTGCTATTTGCTGCAGTTTGGAGCCAATTTGCATGCCCATTTGGCTTTTGGCTTTTGGCTTTGGCTTCACTTGACTCTTGGCTTTTGGTTTTTGTTTTTTGTTGTTTTTTTTGGCTTTGGTTTCACTTGGCTTTTGGCTTTTGGCCGCACTTCTGTTGAATGTATGTGTAGTATTGTAGTTTGCATATAACATTTCATAATTTCATAGAATACACTGCATATAAATTGCATGTAAACTGCACAGAAACTACAGTCGTAATATGAGCTTATATGCATGCTGTTGTGAGAGGAATTGAGACCTGTTTTCAACAAGTGTCCCAACTACTTGCTGTTCCTAAAGTTCTTAAGACCCTATTTAAAAACACGTGTTGAACTGTTGTTCTCCAACTATATTTGCTTGAATTGTGTTTCACAATGGTTGCATGGCAGTCAGAAGTTTCCCTGTGTACCTTTGAGTTTATATGCATGCTTATCGGAGAGAAACTGCAACCTTTTTCAACATCAAGTGTCCTAACGAGCTCTTTCTTTATGTCTGAAAAAAGTATCTCAGGACACTTGTTGAATCTGGCCTCCTACTATATCTATGTGAGTTGATGTGTGTAAAACCCTAAAGAGACCCTAAATGACCCTAAACAAACCCTAAAGAAACTATAAATGAAAACCTAAAGAAACCCTAAATGACACCCTAAAGAAACCCTAAATGAAAGCATCAATGAAACCCTACAGAAACCTTAAATGAAACCCCTAAACGAAACGCCAAAGACATCGTAAAAGAAACCCTAAATGAAACCCTAAAGAAACCCTAAATGAAACATATTTTTTGCATTGTTGCCTTCATTTTTCCATAGGTTTCAGTTTCTTCATTTTTACATGAGTTTTCTTCATGCCTTTACCTTCTGGCTTCTGGCTTTTGGCTTCTGCGGCTTCTGGCTTCTGACTATTGCGGCTTCTGGATTCTAGCTTCTTGCTTCTGGCTTTTGGCTGCGGTTCTAGTTTCTGGCTTCGTGTCTGGCTCGTGCTGCTTGGATTTTCTTCTTCATGTTTGGCACAGCAACAGTAACAAATAACACCATCAAAATCGATCCAAATAATGGGGAGAAAACAACGCCGGGGTGCAAGTCGCATAGCACGCATTGCGGGAGGGAGGCGCTGCGCCCTCCCCCAGCGCCCCCCACCCGCTTTTTTTTTTAAATCCGACCCTCCCCTTGCTGGGAAGTCGACGACGACGACGACAACCACAACCACAACAACCACAACCACAACCACAACCAGCACCACAACCGCCACAACCGCAATAATTATTAAAAGATAGATAGATCGATAGACAGAGGAATAACTGCGATAGAAATAGAACAACAATAGCAACAACAACAACAACAAAAACAACAAGAACAATATCAAGAACAATAACAAGAACAAGAACAAGAACAACAACCACAACAACAACAACCACAACCACAACCACAACGACAACGACAACGACAACGACAACAACCACGACAACAACAACGACAACCACAACAACATTAACAACAACAACAAGAAGAAGAAGAAGAACAACAAGAAAAAAGTAACAAAACCCATATACTCAACAATTATTGAAAAGAGCCCTCCTCCCGCGGATGAACAACGCTAGAAAAGCAACGACAAATATAGAAAAACAATGAAAAACATAGAAAAAACAATGCAAAAGCGAAGAAAAACACGAAAAACCATCGAAAAACTGAGGGAAACGCTAGAAAATGTTTGAAAACTATGGAAAACTGATGGAACGTGCTAGAAAATCATAGAGAACTATGGAAAATGGAGGATCAACGCTGGAAAACTAGCGAAAACAATTGGAAAATTGATGAAAACTGCTGGAAAAACAATGAAAAAGCAAGGAACCCAACCCCGAACCCTCCCAAAAAAAAATGCAAAAAAAAGAATGCCAACTTAATTCCGCGCCCATATACAATAGTCCAAAATAATCCAAAATGATCCAACATGATATAAAGACTTATGTAAAGATACATAGCCCAGCTCAAAAATTGACACCGCTCAGGCGAAGCTATGTCATCTAAAGACGCCCCGGTTTCATTCATCCCAGATGACGGTCTACGTGGAAAGAAGGTTCGCACTTTGAAAGACGAGTTTGATACAGACATATACAGGCTCTCACGACTCTACTCTTCATCATTCTGCATCAAATCATATCCTATAATTTTTCTATCTACTTTCTGAATCTTGCTGACTGCTCAGTAGGACGATCAAATGCTTGACGATGTCGCAGAAAACGTCTGTGATCGTCTGTGTAGGTGGAGCTGTGGACCCTCTGGGGAAAATGTGTTGAACCACCAGAGGAGACTCGATGACCTGACTCGATGACTCGATGCAGCGTCACTTTTACAATGCACACTGCGATGCCTAGATCCAACATGATCCAACATGATCCAACTAGCAAACGCACCTTTCCTTGGTGCAATTGGTGCAATTGGTGCAATTGGTGCAATGGCAATGGCCCCTTTGCATCCCTTTGCTGCTTTCAACATTCTTCAACAATCTGGCCTACAGATCCTACAGATCCTACAGATCCTACAGTACCTACACTTGTTCCAGAACCTCTAGGTCTGAGGTGGCCTGCAATGACATGCAATGACCATCCAAACATTCCAGACCAATCCAAAAGACATCCAGCCGCCTGCATGTGCAGGAAGATTGCTCTGCAAACGACAAGCTCCAGCATGACTCCAAGAGAAACAGCGAGTTGCTGGTGCCATCCCTAGATTTGGGGAAAGATCAGGAAAGTTATTTTCTGAGACATTTTGGAGAGGGAAGTGGCCATTCTTGGCCAGTCCCGGCTCCGCGCAAATAGGATCAAATAGGTGTATTGAGCCAGCTCTGATTGCATAGCCGAGCCCGTAATTCCCTCGATTTCTTGTAAAGTAAAGGGTGAGTACTTTCGTCCTGGCTCCTGTTTGTCAGTTTTCCTTGCTTGTGCAGATATAGAATTGTATACAGATAATTGAAAGTGAAGGTCAAGGTGATACAAGATGTTCCGAGGGACAAGGATTCACAATGAATTCACACAGTCATTGATCCCAAAGAAGGAGTAGGGAACTAACACAAGCATCTTTCTTGATGAATCCAGACTGCTGTCATGGTAGCATCAGCTCGGTAGCATCAGCTTTGCTTTCCCCCTCTGAGTCTTGTGTTGGAACTGCTTCAAACTGCTTCTTTCAAGAAGTTCAGTATGACAGCCCAGAATTTGCGGGCAGGCTAGTGACGCACCAGATCAGCCGCCCTTGCGCGGTGTCCAGTTGCGTGGAACTTGGACATTGAAAGCATGGTTCGCTTGCAACATGTTTGTGGTAGCAAAAGTCTGGAGTGGTACCAAGCATAAGAAACATTAAGAAACATGAACATCATATGAACATCATGAACTCTGCAAGCGGCCACAGCTGCCAAGGCTTTTCCGCGCTTTGCTCCACCCTCATGGGAAAGTTGCAAGCGCTTTGCATTCTGCAATTGCCTCAGCCCGATGATTCAGAGGTTTTTGAAATTTTAAAGCAGTCAGACAAGCTAAACCCGCTAAAATCCGCAATACCTAAACCGAGCACCTGGAGAGGGTGGAAAGAGCGGGTCCTTTGACAAATTGATATAAATTGCACGTAGGAGCTGGGAGGAGTTTCAAAGCCAAGAGGTAACATCTTGGTTAGGGGTAGTTACCGGGTAGTTGTTGAGTCCGCGAAGCTTTGAACCAATCACTGGCCGTAACCAACACAGTGTCACTTGACATCTCTTTGTCTCCACATCGCAATTCTTTTCTCTCGACATTTGATTTGCTTGACAAGCCCTTCTCTTGGCATCCTTCTGCCTCAGCATGTCTCAGCATTTTCTTCTGTCCATCTCTTTCTCAGAAGACCTCCTGCTCTTGATCTCTTGACACATCTTACTCTTGACACTTCTTCCTCTTGACATTTCTTTCTCTGGGTAAGCCTTTCTCTTGGCATCCTTCTCTCTCAGCATTTCCTTTCCATATCTTTTTCTTGACGTGTCGTGCTCTTGACGCTTCTTGCTCTTGATATCTCTTTCTCTTGTCACCTGATTGTCTTGCGACTTCTTTCTCTCCACATCTTGTTGCCTCAACGCTTCTTTCTTTTGACAATTTTGTCATCACTTTCTCTTGACACATCTTTCTTACATGTCTTACTTTCTTTTGACTTCTTTTGTCGTGACGCCTGTTTTATTTGGTTTCTCTTGACAAGTTTTTTCTCTTGACATTTCTTTCTCTGGAAATCTCTTTCATTTTTTCACGCCTTCTCATGACGTCTTTTCCCTGGTGGTGGTGGTCCTGGTATTGGTGCAAGTGCTTTTCGGATCTTTTCAGCAGGACATGGTAGGAAATCCTGACAGATCATGACAGTTTTGGAGCTCAATCATGCACTGAATCCGTTGACCGTCAACATCCGTCAAGCCGCTGGCAGATGTTGCCGTAGCAACCTGCGCATTGCCTTCGCTGTGAGGCGACTTGTGCGCTCTTGGCTCACATCGCTGCAGATGGGAACGAGGAGACTTGGAGAGGGCATGAGAGGGCAATTCAGATAATTAATTCAGAATTTCAATTCAGGAAAAATTCAATGATAAATAATGATAATTATCTGATAATTCATGTCAGTTGTGGCGGTGGCTGTCCTGCCATATCCCTGCCATCAAAAGTTTGAATCACGTTGGAAACTGACACAGCGATTGGCTACACCTGCATGTGATTGATTGGCATTTTGCAATGGTGGTTTGCCAGTCGGATTTGAGGGAAGACTCCTTTTTTTGAGTTCTTGCAGCTGATGGCATAAGCCTAGCATGATGTTCTCACGCTCCTTTGAAGCGTGGAGGCCATCATGCACACATCATCAAGAGCATGTTTGCAGTAACCTTTTTGTTGTCCTTTGTTACGTGGTGTGGCTCATCTCTTCTTGATTCTTGTTTAGCAGCTGCATTTGATTCGAAACGTGCACGACACGACTAAATTCATCCTTTACCTTATCATGTGTGTGTTTTCCTCTTTTTTATTTGTACATGCACGTTTGACGCTCTCCGGCTTCCCCATCTTCGCCGCTTTCGTTCGGCAACGCTGCTTTCGTTCCGCAACGGCAAGACTTCTCCGCACTGTTGTGTATGATTGTCGAATGATATTGGGCTGCAAGGGTTGCATTTGCGAGCACAAAGAAACACAAACGCAATCGCGGCAATCGTCCTCGCTTCCGAGCTGCAAATCAAATGCGCTCACACGAGGCCGACGTTCTGGAGGAAGGAGGCCAGGTTTCGGGCAATGGGCGCAATGGGCATGTGCCTGGTGTTCTCCATCTTTCAAATTCTTTCAGCATTTTTTGTCCTTTCATGAAAATTGCCTTCGAGTGAAAGATTCATTTTGGTGGTCTCGCTGTCCACATCTAGATGATCAAGCAATATCAAGAATATATATATATATATTGAATATATTATATTAGTCAAAACCTCTTTTTCACTGCTTTCTGCCGGGGGTTCATGCCTCGCATCACTGAACACACATGTATCGCCGTATCGCTTTGATTCATATTTTTATTCAGCCTACTGGACTGTGTTGGAATGAAATGTAAACTTCTGACTTCTCATGAAACACACTTGTCAAGTTGGGCAAAAGATGGCACAAGTATCCAAAAGCAATGCAGCTCTTGAATACTCTTGGCTCTTGGCATCTCTTGAAAGACCCTCAAGCATGGTGACATATGGTGAGATATGGTGAGATATGGTGAGATATGGTGACCAGTGAATCCAGTGACTCAAATGTGTTGCATTTTGTGGCAAATCACAGCTGGCTCTATCTGACTCTCCATCCCGAAAAGATTGCTCCAGGCGTTGTTGTAGCCACGCAATCCGCGCGCTTGCATGCCTCGGATCCTCAAGTGCAGGTTCTTCGATGTTCTTCGTTCAGTATCCCTGAAATCAACGATCATGCTTTGCGCTTGAAATCTCGTAAACATGTTCTAAGAACATTTCGAGGATGAGACTGATTCATGAGGGGGATGCTATAGTGACATGATACTGTACATGTTATATGTATTATAAATTGATATGTTATGATATTTCATGGCTGTGGACAGCACATGTCGTTTCGGCCAAGCGGCTAAAAGCACTTGTACCTGGCCGAGCGCTTCGCAAAACAGGTGGACACGTTTGACCTGCTCCACAATCTCGTATGCCAACCAGTGCCAGGTGACACCGTTAGCCGAGGGACTGCTTTTTGCCAAATTGTGGCGTTCAGGCAAGTCATCATAAGGCAAGTTATGGCAAGTCATAAGGCAAGTCGTAAGGCAAATCATGTCAGGGTTCGTTGAACCTGTGGTTTCATCATGTTTCAACGACTTGCCGAGGTCCCAGCGCTTTAGTCCAGATGGCAACCAGCTATGGGGCAGTCGAATTGATCATTGAAGCCTTGAGGTGAGCTGACTAGAGCGGTGCTTCCCTGTCAATATCTGTGTAAGTTGGAAGTGAACATTTTAATAAATCATATATGATTAATTAAATATATTTACAGTAAATAATTATATGATATGTATGGAGAGAGAATGAGGGAGAGATACGACAACCATGATAAACTATGATAATCTCTTCCGTTGCAAGAGATCTTCATAGCTTCACAGCGAAGTCGGGTCCAAATTGAAGTTTCCACTCATCTGAAGCGATGGGGCGAAATGGAAGTGGATTGGCTCTGGCAGTTCTGGATCTGAAATTGATTCAGAACATTTCAGAACTATCATCATCTCTCTGCCTGCGGCCCACAAGCCGTCCCCTTGCAGGAACTATCCGGAACACAGAGGAGTGCTCTATTCCAGCGCAAAACTACTTCGCAGCCTGTTACGCGTGCCACTCAATATATGACACGCATCATTGCAAGCAGCCCGTCTTTTAAGAACTAATCCTTTTGCAGGGGAACTGGTTACAACATCCATCAAAATCCAATTGAATTCGTTCAATAGTTCAATAGACTCCACAGACTTTTCGCCAGAACAATCTTTTCCGCTTGCACTGGAACAAGCCGCCAAAAGCTGGGCGAAACAAGACTGGCGAGCGTTACAAGATGTTACAAGAACACACTTTATTTGATAAGGGGTCAAAATTCGCCACCCCCTACCTTCATGAGGGATCAAAATTTGTTGCCGAATTTTGATCCCTTATGAAGATAAAGTTGATGTTATTACCCCAGTCAGCATATTGTGCAGAGGGGGTTGATGATGTGATGACGACGACGATGACGATGATGATGACGATGATGATGATGATGATGATGATCATCATCATCATCATCATGACGATTGTAAGTGTGGAGCAACATCCGGGTTGGGGCGAACATATTTAAACAATTTTTAAACATGTTTAAAACAAATGTTTAAAGGTACTTAATATATATATATATATATCAAATTATCCAGAGCAATTCCGGAGCAATTTCTTTCCTGCCTGGCACTGCCTAGTGTCAGCTGGAGCAGTGCCATTTTCGTTCTGAGTTGGTGGTGATCTCTCCGGCGAGAGCACCCTGTCTCGCAATGTGGAGGCTGGGTGGGCAGAGAGGCTGAAATATATGGAATGCATTGACATATTATGGACATATTATGACATAATGTGTGAAACGTTGTGACTCTAGCGGGCTCGTAAGCGCGCTGGTAAGCTGAATGCAAGCTGAGTATATCACGGCAGACTGCATGGCATTGATTGTCAAGAGATCACGGACAGAAGGTGTTCTTCAAAACAAGGAGCTTTATGTTATTCATCAATGACTGCTAGGATGCAAATAATTAGTCAAGCTTTTAATAGCCTTTATATGTGTATATATGGTACAGGCCTGCAACTCCCCCCCCCCCGTCATGGTCATGGTTCCGCCCCGCCTGTGGGAATGGCGGGTGGGGTAGCAATCCCCGGTATTTAGGGGCCCTGGATCTAAGCTAGAAAGTTATGAACGCTTGTGGTCAACAGTCGGAGGGCAGCACCTTTTCTGTAGCTATGCTCGCAAGTCTTGAGCCACGGAGTGGCGCAGTGGATGGTACGAATTAAAGTGAACATGTCACATGGTATGCAAATTGTAGATGCATTGTGTGGGCACGTCCCCAGACGCAGGTTTCAAAACAGACACAAATTTTCTTCGTGTCGTAACATGCAGCAAAAGTTTAGCTCTCGCATAAGAAACGCTCAGCTTATGCTCTGCTGTGAAACGTGTCCGTAGACACACGAAAATGCTACTGCAGGCCGTGAATACGTCTCGTATTCTTCTCAAAAATGCTGCTTTGATGATTTCGTTTTGCCGTTGACCGGCGAATATGTAAAGATACAGTTCATTTTGTTTTCTCTGCCATGTCGGCTGGTGGAAGTAGATTTGAGTCTTCAGGAGGTTGCGGCACCATGTCTAACAATGTGCCGTCTGCATTTCTATGCCAACGCTCAAAAGCCAATTGATAACCAGGTACATACTCTACGGAAGAGTTGCGCTGGTTGTATCGGTAATATGGTTGCTGGTAATAACCCTGACTGTGATGTCCGTTCTGACAGGGTTCGCGAGGAGGCTGCTGGTATTGCTGTTGATGACTTGACGGTTGCTGGCGTCGTTGATAGCCAGTGTTGGCCCAACGTGCTCCTCCTGGAGTGACCCTCGCCAGTACGGCTTCTGGTTCTTCTTCCCTATCTCTCTTTCTCTGACTATCTACCTACCTACCTACCTATCTATCTATCTATTTATCTATCTATCTATCTATCTATGTATCTGTCTATATTTCTATCGATCTCTCTCTCTCTCTTTCATCTAATTACCTATCTATCTATCTATCTGTCTATCTATCTAACTATCTATCTATCTAACTATCTATCTATCTATCTTTTTACCTATCTATCTATCTCTCTCTCTCTCTCTTTCACCTGTCTATCTGTCTAGCTGTCTATCTGTCTATCTATCGATCTATCTGTCTGTCTGTCTACCTGTCTATCTGTGGTGCAGTGTCATTCAGTGTAATGTAGTGCAGTGTAATGTAGTGTGGTGTAGTGGAGTGTAGTTGTGTAGTTGTAGTTGCAGTGTTGTGGAGTGTAGTGTAGTGTTGTGGAGTGTAGTGTAGTGGAATGTAGTGAAGTGTAGTGGAAGCTAGTGTAGTGTAGTGTAATGTAGTGTAGTGTAGTGTAGTGGAATGTAGTGTAGTGTAGTGTAATTGAGTGTAGTGTAGTGGAGTGTAGTGGAATGTAGTGTAGTGTAGTTGTAATGTAGTGTAGTGTAGCGTAGTGTATTGGAGTGTAGTGTGGTGTAGTGGTGGTTGTAGTTGAGAATGCCACAAAACCATCATGTTTTGCTCATTTTTGACAAGGTGCGCAATCCCTTGCGCTTGCCTGGTCCGCACCTGATGTTTTTAACATTTTGACTTCGAAATGTGCTTCATGCCGCACCGGCGTGTACTTTTTCGACATCTGAACCTCCACAAGTGGTCCGAACCCCTAGTGTTTTGTACATGTTCACTTCGAAATGTGCTTCGCGCCACAACGGCGTGCACCTTTTCGACATCTGAACTTCCAAAAGCGGTGCGAGGCTGAGGTGTTTTGTACATTTTCACTTCAAAATCTGCTTCGCGCCAAAACGTCGTGCAACTTTTCATTTCTCATCTCCCCAGATGTCTCCGCACCCGCCGCTTTAGCGAGCCTACTTTTCGACCCTCCGGAGCCACAAATCATTGGAAGAACACAGTGCTTCGCGACTTTCCTACCTTTTAGGCATCTGCATCTTCTTTCTTCTGATTCTTTCTCTTCTCTGATCTTCTCTCTTCTAATCTTTCTCTTCTCTCTGCCTCTGCCCTGCTCTGCTTTTCATCTGTGCATGTTGTCGGAAGTTTGACTTCAAAACTTCCTTCGACTACATTTACACTACACTACACTACACTAATTACACTACACTCCACTCCGCTACACTACACCGCACGACACTACAGTACACTCCACTCCACTCCACCACACCACACCACACCACACCACACCACACCACACCACACACCACACCACACCACACGACACGACACGACACGAAACTACACTACACTACACTACGCTACGCTACGCTACACTACACTACACTACACACTACACTACACTACACTACACTACACTACACTACACTACACTACACACACTACACTACGCTACGCTACACTACACTACACTACACTACATTACAACTACACTACACTACACTACACTACCTTCCACTACACTGCACAACACTACACTGCACTACACTACACTACACCACATTCCACTACACTACACTACAGTACACTACCTTCCACTACCTTCCGCTACCTTCCACTACACTCCACTCCACTCCACTCCACTCCAGTCCGCTCCACTACACTACACTACACTACACTACACTGAATGACACTGCACCACAGATAGACAGGTAGACAGATAGATAGATAGACAGATAGACAGGTAGACAGATAGACAGATAGATAGATGGATAGACAGATAGACAGATAGACAGGTAGACAGACAGATAGATAGATGGCTAGCTAGATAGATAGCTAGATAGATAGATAAGTAGATAGATAGATAGATAGATAGGTAGCCAGAGAAAGAGAGAGAAAGAGTGAGAGAGATCAATCACCTTTCGATCCATCAGTGGCTTCGCTCTGCCATCCCTGATTCACAACAACCAACCTCTCCTATAGGTTTCCTATTTTTGAAACTTCCGCCACCGCCTTGCGCGGTACTACTGGTAATATGCCCGTATGTGTTCAATATGTTCTAATAGACTTGACCTGTGAAGCCATAAGATTCCTGATTTCAGTGCCTCTGTTCTCCTTGGCAGGATGCGATCACGAATTTGGAAGGCTTTGCTGAGGGTTTGAGAGCTTGGAGCCGCAGAACTATCGCAGCGCACCGTGTAGCATCATGGCATATTTGCATTGATTTCCATTGCGCCCAATTGATGCGCCTAAGTCTTCGTTACAGTAGCGGCAAGTCACCGCTATTTCATGGCGTGGACACTGATCAAAACATGATGGAATTGGGAACTCGGAAAGTTTGTTTTTTCAGGCATGACATTGTTCCAAACCAATATTGTTTGACATTTCAATAACATGTTTGTACTTTATAGCATTGGTTTGGCCATGTTTGGCCATTGGCCACTCGCTTCACAAGTTATCAGTGACGAGGTAGGAAATTGGTGACCCTGTGAACGAACCAGACACTTCTGCGAGACGGGCATGCATTTGCATACGGATATACATGATATACATTCCCGCAGTATCGGTACACAGACATTTACAGTACACAGACATACCTATGTCCATATATCCATACATACACACATGCACCACTCATACATCATACAATATCATTATCATACATACCCTTTGGAATTACCACGCTTGTCCATGTGCCACAACCATCAAATAGGCATAGACTACATGAGTGACGGTTTTTATTTGGTTAAGTGGAGAGTAATATTGGGGCGTACCCCGGTTTGTCGAAAACATCATAATTAGGATAATTAGGCAGTAAAACGAGGTAAGAACACCCTGAGAACAGGGTAGGCATCGCATGTAAAGCATTTAGCTATTAAAAACAAGTGCGGTGTTGGAAAGAAGGTCAGACCCCCAAAAGTGCTACGGGACGGGAGCAAGAGGTAAGAGCGCCCCGTCAATTGCGTTACGTACCAAACATCTTCCGCAGCTCACATATCTACTGCAGGCACTTTGATTTATATTCGCCATGAACGTGCGGTTTGAAAAATGTGAAAAGGGGGCAAGGGTTGAGCCCCGAATCTTGATGATCTTTGATTCTTGCTCTTTGCTTTCTGTTCTTGTCCTGGCCTGGCACCGCATCTGTCCTTTCATTTTCTTTCTCTTGCCAGAGACAGTCCATCTCACTTGAACGGCGCTTTTAAGTGCTTTTACTTCCCACAGTTTGCGGCTCTTGCATATCGGCAATATGGGGTCAAAATGGTTGATATGGTTGACCCCCACGATGAGTGGTTCATACCAAAAATATCCGAACATTCACCAATTCCGTGGGTACCGCAATACCATATACTGTAGTAGCGTATGCGGCATTTTGTTTATTCACCCCGCTTCGCGTGGGGTGGCCGCCCACACCGCAGGTTTATTTCGGTCCGTGAGAGGGGCTAAGGGTGGTTTTCCCCCGTGGGGGCTCCCCAAGCTAAGAATTTTCACTTTCCCCACCCGTGGGGGTCCTTAAGGTAGGGAATTTTCACTTTTCCCCCCCGTGGGGGCTCCCCAAGCTAAGAATTTTCACTTTCCCCCCCCGTGGGGGCTCCCCAAGCTAGGGAATTTTCACTTTCCCCCCCTGTGGGGGCTCCCCAAGCTAGGGAATTTTCACCCCCGTGGGGGCTCCCCATGCTAGGGAATTTTCACTTTTCCCCCCCGTGGGGGCTTCCCAAGCTAGGTAATTTTCACTTTTCCCCGCCGTGACAGCTTCCCAAGCTATGGAATTTTCACTTTTCCCTCCCTTGGAGGCTCTCCAAGCTGCGGAATTTCAAATAGCTAGACAACGACGCCTAGATAGTCCCCCAAATCCCGTGTTCTTTGAATGTGTTTCCATGTTTTTGCAATGGTTTCCTTCAAAGCACGGTACTTTACACTTTTGTCGCCATAAAACCGGTCGAAAACATCATGTTCGACAATGTTTCCAATTCCCTTATCTCCCCAACCGTTGAAAATACCGCTATTTACAGTGTTTTCTTCAATTTTTCCATGTTCCAATGCCGGTAGCCAACTCCAACATATATATAAGAAATCCTTCCAAAACATTGTTTTTGACAGTGTTTTTCCAATGTTTCCAGCCAAACAGACGGTAATTTACACGTTTTTTGCCATAAAGGCAGTAAATCCTTCCAAAACATTGCTTTTGACAGTGTTTTTGTAATGCTTCCAGTCAAGCATACGGTAATTTACACGTTTTTTGCTATAACGTCAGTCCAAAACACTTGTTTTTGCAGTGTTTTCAATGCTCTGGCATCCAAAAACCCTGCAAAATCTTGCTATGTACAATGTTTTTTTCATTTTTGGCCGTTTTTCCATTGCCGGAAAGCTACCAAAATGACCCAAAATTCCATTTCAATACCCTCTTGCGCTCAGACACCCAAAAATCCTCGAAAAATGTCGAAAACACCACCGTATTCTGGTCTCGGTGCGAAACCGTTTTTGGGCCCCCCCCCCCAGCTAAAGCTGATATAGCGACTGCTATATTAACAAATGTCATTGAGCATTTAGTGTTGCTGTTTTGCCCCCCAATAAGCACCCCTTCACCGCCAAAGCGGTGTGGGCGGATTTTCACATTCATATAATACGATGCAGCATAAGTACCACGGTGATGCAAGTTGACACGCGCATGCACACACACACAGACAAGGAGAAACAGACGTCATCATTGTGCATACTCGTACAATCTCGTATGTACATAAAACGCATTCCGCATATCTCTGCATCTAATTCTTGTTTGCCGCGTGCTCGTGCACTGGTCATGTCTGTCTTTCCTTTGCAATTCAGTTTTCTCCAGCCATGAGGTGGAGACTTTGCTCCAGGACACAGTGAACAAGTGTGAACAAATGTGAACAATTTTTCTAGAAATTTCTAGCGGCTAAAAAGCTTGGATGAAGCCAACCCATGATTCCCCCATGATCAGATGGAATCCCTCAAAGGAAGAGCTTTGAAGGTGGGACCGGACCTGTACGTCAAAGTGCAGTTGTTTTTTCATTTGAATATTTTGAATATCCGGCTCAAATGAGTCGACAGGCTGTGTTGGTATGTGGCTTCATGATGCTTCATGTGTTTGAACGATTGCAGACCGAAGGAGCTTCGGCGACACTCTGCAGATGTTCCCACAAGGTCTGGGCGTCAGTACACAAATCTTTCAAGCACTGTGTTCAGGACGGTACTGGTCCAGTGCATACCGTTCAACATACCGTTGCATACCGTATGTTCGTGCCGGAAGTGTTCAGCATTGTTCATCTTACTGTGATAATTTCTCACGGTATAACTTCTGTGGGAGGAGTGTTTCCATTTCACTTTCTTAGTTGTAAGGTCCAGTAGCCAAGCATTGAAAAAAGGGCAAACCTGCGTGTGGCTTTGACTCCTCCAAAGTTTCTGTGTGTGGCATCTCACCGCCGTTTGAGATCTTTTTGCTGGACTTACTGTATCCGCGCTTTCCTCTCGTAGCAGATCATGTCCAGAACATCGACGAGGGCACATCATCCTCCTGCCAGTCCTCAAGACATTTTCACCATGCTGTGTGGACGGCAATTGAAGGCATCTTAGACATCTTAGGTCAAGTGCTGAAGTTTCGAAGGTTTGTTGATGTATGTTGCAACATGTTGGGTAACATGTTGCGTCGCATAATCTTGCATTGAGACACAGTAAAGACCCCCGCTGAGTGCAGTCAATCGGTCCCTGAGGTTAAGAACACCTTCTTGGATGACGTTGTCCGTGAGCAGTCTTCCAATGAGTCCACCCTTGCTGAAGCGCAGACATGTCCCGAGTTCAGGAGCAGAAATGATGCATTGTCAAGCAGTTCAGCTAGCATCTCAGGCAGTGCGACTGCCAGTGCCACGCAGTCTGAGTTGTGCCTGGGTACTGACCCAGAGCTGATGCACACCTTGCAGTCTTTGCCGAACACCTTGCAAACTCTGTCACCACTATGCTCTTTGCGGTACCAAGTCGCAGAGGTCCCAGCCTCCGAAGCAGACTTCACAGACGTCGTGCCACCAAACACGATGCCTATGACCTTGGAGCTTTGGCCAGACCAAATGAGCCACGAGGCCCAGCTCTTGTCCGCTCTGCAAGCAATGCCCAATGTAAGCAACGCGCCATTTGGACATTTGCTCAATGCGTCCAATGCACAGTCACCACTGTCACCACCACCAAGAATTCATGACGCCTTGGGTGCCAATCTCAGTGCGATGGCCGCAGTCACAGCTTTCCCATCAGTGATGCCGATGCCGAATGTGCCAAGTGTTCCTTGGGCACCCCCTGTTTTGAGCACTATCCCACCAGCCAATGAGTTTTTGGCACAAGTGTCTTGTCAGATAGTTTGTTTGCCAGCCATGGAGGTTTTGTATGGTTTTGTGTCATTGGTGCTTGGGTGCCCTTGCAAGGCAGAGAATGTCATAGGAAGGGGGAAAGCCATGGAAAGCCTGCTGATTATTGGATTGCTGGCTGAGCTGTCGTTTGCATGCATTGACCGTCTATAATCCCGGCGCAATACAGACATTACAGACATGGCAAGCTATGTAATGTCGCAAGAGTCATTCTGTGCTATTCCAAAGCTGAGCCAGCAGTTCGCAGCCTTGCTTCCCTTCCCAGAGGATCGTGGGATTGATTAACGATTACCCTCTGGTAAACTAACATAACTATGGAAAATCACCATGTTTAATGGGAAAACTCGCTATAAACGGCCATTTTCAATAGCTATGTTAAATTACCAGAGGGTAATAAGCAAGGACGCTTAGGCCAAGTATCCTGCCGCAAGTGCGTCTGTTTTAGATGCATCCCAGCAACTTATGTCGGGGTTGGATTGTAGATCAGATTGTCAGAGAGACGGAGTGCCGTACTTCACATCCAGCATAGATATGTAATTACATACTCCTCCTAAGATATGCGAATCCCAGATTTCTGAGCAAGCAAAGCAAACAGAGCAAACCTTTCTCGAATTGCTGAGGTGGGGCAAATGGAGGCCGGACAATGCGATCCAGAACCTGCACAACGCCCTTCACAAGATGGCAAAGCTTTTGGTGAGAGCCAGATCCAGAAGCCGCACGAGGCATGTGAGGCGGATGCACAGGAGGCACTCGAGGCATACGAGGTCGAGGGCAAGGATGGTCGAGACAAAGAGAAGCCTGAGAAGAAGAAGAAAAAGAACGTCTCCAAGGTTTGGTCCCATTTCTACCTGGAGCCTACCATGCTTCGCAGTGGATTTGATGTGAACAAGAAGATCATTGGACACGGCGGTGCCAATACCAAGCGCATCTTCGAGAAGACAGGAGCTTTGGGGGACTTTGGACACTAACATGAGGGCTGTACAATTGACATTTCAAGATATTTCAGGATATTTTATTTCTCTCAATGTCTCTCCATTATTCTCAATGTCTTTCCAGTATTCTCTATGTCTCTGAATGTTTCTCATTTCTCTACAGGGAAGCATGAGAAAGCATGTGGTAAACAATTACATCATGAAAGTGCCCAGTTATGTACATATTAATGTTGTCATTGATTTTGTCAGTCATTTTGTGTTGTCTTCCATTGTGGCTGCGCTCCTTGCCTTCAGTGTTTTCTCGTGGGAGAAGAAGGCAAGAGAAAAGATTCACGTTGAAAATCTTTGAGGCACCAATCATGAGATTGAAATAGATTGAATGCATATTCAAACGAATTCATCATAAATCATCATAAATCTACTTATTCAGAATGAGGCAAACCTAGGCAAGCGCGGAATGCCCCTATCTCCGCTACTTATATATGTTTGTAGAATGTATACACTGTATATAGTCTATTCTGCTCCGTTCTGCTCCATTGTCATATACGGTGATCCCCAGTACTTCATGGTGCTCACTCGCGCTCCATTATGCTCCACTATACTCCACCGTCCAAGTACCGCACCAATCAGCACAGGCACAATTTTGAGGAGTCCATGTCTTCGAAGTGTAAAGTATCAGACCGCAGCGGCTGCATATATCCGCCTGATCATGTCATATTGCGATTTTTTACAAGCTATAACTATGATTGCAATTGATTGCACATATATAATATATACATAATTATATATAGAGAGATCGGCAGACACACACGCACACACACATATATATATATCATAATATATTATTATGTATATTGTACATGCGTGATCAGTATGATCGTTTTTACGTTTCTGTGTCAAGTCCGAAGGCTAAGGCACCTCTTCCAAGTCGTGCAGCCAAGGCACCTCCAACGATGATTCGTTCTCTGCCAAGTAGGCCCTTACACAAAACTAAACAAACTGCTTGTATATAAGCTTTTCCTGACTTTTACATGTTTTTTCTTGGCTTTTCCATGCTTTTCCCGGCTTTTCCATATTTTTCCTGTCTTTTCCATGCTTTTCGTGGCTTTTACATGCTTTTCCACGCTTTTCCATGCTTTTCCTGGCTTTTCCATGCTTTTCTTGGTTTTTCCATGTTTTTCATGGCTTTTCGTGGCTTTTCCTGGCTTGTCTTGCTTTTCCATGCTTTTCTTGGCTTTTCGTCGCTTTTCCATGCTTTTCTATACTTTTCCATGTTTTTCTTGGCTGTTCGTAGCTTTTCTTGGCTTTGCCATGCTTTTCCTGTGCACACAAACTTCATGACATGTGCATTGGACCATCCACCCAGGATTGAGAAGATTCACACAGAAGCGGCATCAAAGTAAGATCAAGTATCTAACCCTTGCATTAATGCAGGTCGTTTGCTGGCCCTGCCTGTGTGCTTGTGAAAGTTGTGAAAGTATGCAAAACATTAGCAAAAAGTCACCTTTGACGCATCCTGTGACATCCTGGGTTGTTGAGGAGCAAAGATCCGTTTGAGAGGGCGTGGTAGCGGACATAACGAGGGAGAACGCGGTGAGGCCCCGGTGCCTTTGATGCTGGCTGTGCAATCCTCAGTGCAGAGACTTTTGCTGCCATACATAATCATAATGTTACATAATCATACATAATCATACATAATCATACATACACACATATACACACATATACATATATAATCATATATATATAATATCATTACATACGATACAATGCAAATCTCTGCAGACCGGATGATTTGCTGATTCAATCATAGTCATTGGTGGTTTATGGATTGTTTTGTTTTCTCATGTTTTCTCCAAGAAATGATCATTTATAAAGTGGGTCAGCTATGGTCAGCTGAATAATCTCATATAATCTCTGCACCGTTCCGCGACAGGCGCCTCTGAACAGTCTTGCAAACCCGAGTAAACCCCTTCTGAGAGTTGGCACCACGAAGTTGGCCCTGATTAGGTCTTACTATGTCTTACTGTACCGACTCTTACAATATTGTTGGAAGTTTATATAAGTTTATTATATACATATTTTATGGTTTATTCGAGGGGACCACCGGAGCAATGGATGCTTTATGTCAGCATTCTCATGCATTTACTTGTGCGATTGGTGCTGGTGTTTCGATGAACACCGATGGACCTATTTCTAATTTCTGTGCCAATATGTATTCGCTCTATGTTGTTGTTGTTTTCTTTTTGTTTGTTCGAGCGCTTGCCTTCCAAATCTTCCTAATGAAGTTGCTGTCATCTACCTAGCAGACAGTCTGGCAATCAATGTTTGGAGTCCAGCAAATGCACTTGGGGAGTCCTCTCTGGCTGTCTATCTCAACTGAATTTGCTGCAGACACAGAATACGATTAAATGCAATAAAACACATGCACAAATCTACGTATACAAATGTATTTTGATTTGTGTACAATGTGTACTCTTGCACAGACATCTACATGTACATATATACCCATGCATTGAGGTTGGCAGGCTTGGGTGTGCATGTATCATCTTCAAGTGAGTCAATGAATGCTATCATTTTGGCTCAAGTGGAGTTGAACCAAAGTAGCTTTTCTTTCCCCACCCACCCAACCCTAAGAGCCGACCTCCCGTGGAGACGTTTGCCTAGGCTAGGGTGCCTGCAAGGCAGGCGAGTGCATAGCCTCTTTTTGGGGACACTCTCCTGTGGCGACCAGGAGGGTGCTTACCCCCCTTAGTATAGGGATGGGTGACCAGGCAGGTTCCAGCCTGGGGTGACCAGGCAGCTTTGACCAGAGGTTGACACTGGTCTGAGGCTATGCGCATGTCACCTAGTGACCGACCCAAAGCAAACCTGAGGATAGCAGGTGAAACTGACTGAACATTGGCAGGAGCTGGAAAAAAATTAGAGAGTGAGTAGAGTGCGGTACGAAGTTTCATGTTGTCACATTGAGATGTATTTATATATATATACATAGTATATACATACAGGATGCATTATAACTATGTATTTATTTGTTTATATTTATATTATGCATGTACGTACGCATACCCCTCCCCCTACCACCAAAGAATGTGTAAGAGTGCGTTCACTCCCTTGTTGGGTGTCGGCAGCGCAAGATAAGGTGACCTCTGACACCCGGAACCAGGAGAACTTTCTGCAAGCCTGTGAATTGTCTTCACAGCTGCTGCAGACGGTGACAGCCAAATATCCTGAGTTCTGCAGACACCATGGGCACAGCACTGTAATCCCTGCACCTCTCTTTTGGATTGGTGATGCTTCACAGGATGCCTTGGCATCTTTCGAGTATGTGAACGAATCACAAGTTAGGATTGGGAAGACAGAGGTGACGCTCTCATTGGATGCTGGAGTTGCTGGTGGACTCCTGCGTGGCTCCAGGCGAGGCTACTAGTAAGATCTAGTGAGACCGGGATGCATGTTGCAATGACGCCAATAATTCAACCGAAGGCCGAAGTTTTCTTGCACTTCACCTAGTCTTTGAATCTTTGTACTCAAACCCTTTTGATAAGGCCAAGAATCTCACAGGAACGTGATGGCATATATTTGAACATGCATGCCGCTACATTTTACAGCATGGCATGTCACAGTTGCATTCGCAGAGTAGGCGGACTTCACATGTGCGGCTGCAACAAAAGGGAATGAGTACCTTGTCTTGCCGAATGGCAGTTGCCGAATGGCAACTCGGTGCCTTTGTCAACTTCTCATAACTTTTCATGGATGCCAAATGGCATGCCATGTCCAGGTGCTCTCAAAGGCTCTCTCAACGGTAGCCGGTAGCGAGAGACAATGGCCTTGCAAGGCCTTCCTCAAAGCCAACAAAGATCAACAAAGATTAAGAAAGTACATCCCATTGGATCATCAATATCATCATAGAACATTCAACGTTCTGTCTTGTTCTCAATTGAACTTTAGTGGAGGCTTTGTCTCCATGCCACAACCAACACTTTGCAAGAACATCGGGGTTGAGCAATGGCAATGGCTTTCTCAGATTGCGATATACCGCGATCATTGAGACAAGATTGACTGACAGTTCTAATATGTTTCTAATGTGGCATTTTGTTTATGAATGTTTATGACGACTTCATGACGTTTATGGCATTTTGTGGCATCTCAAAGCATTTCCTGGCCAACCCTGATGCCCCTAGCTATTCATGGCTGCTATGCCGTAGTTTCGGAATGCTTGGCATCGTCCCGCGCCAAAAGATTTGAGTTTCTGCGGATTCTTTACATGCAAAAGAGCACTTGGACATGTGACATGGGTCCACCTGAATGGACCTGGATGCATCAATCTAGGTGATGGAATCACAGTACTCCGAGTATTCCTCAATTAAAACGTGTAGATTCACTGTAGATCATTGCTTTGCTTTCAGCAGTTTCTTGATCCGGTTGGCGCGTTGTGCTATTCAGGAGCACGGCACAGGGAGTGGTCGAACTGTTGATGAAGTCCCTTGCCATCTTCTCGGCGGACACGGAGATCCAGGATGGGCTGGCGTGCATCATCTTGCGCGACAAATTTCAGAAACATGCTGTGATTGCTATATATGACAATCTTTGGTAGAGTGCAAAAACATCAAAAACCGGACGAGAGGAGCATGAGCTTAAATGATTTACATGGGCAGCATCATGGGGCATCATGGGCATCATGGGCATCATGTACGCAGCTCCTCCCGGACTTACAGCCCACCAACCTCGAGAACAAAGCGAGTTGTTTTTTTGGGGGGAGGACTTAGGCAAATAGATAGTAGAGGGATGTAGAGGGACCCAACATGCTGGTTGTTGCTGTATGTCGCTTTCCAAGGAGGTGATTTTGGTGGCGTACCGAGAGTTGGCAGCAAATCGTTCCATCCTGATTTTTTGAAGGATTTCACTGATTGCAAATTGCAGTTCCAGTTTTGCAGTTGTTACACATGCCACGGACTGTCATCTGGCGTTGCATATATATAATGCAACAATGCTTCACAAGCGAACCTGGTGCGCAGAAGCAGAAGACTTCCAAAAGGCCGCAAGTCCACAGAGCGGTTTCAGATCCCCAACATGACTCTTTAACTGCGGTACCTTTTGAAGAGACTTGAATGAGCAAGATACCGTAACCTAGACCAGAATCGCTGATGGTACCAAAACGCACCAAAATGTTCGAATTTTGAATCCTATACGTGGAGAACATATGTGAGACCTTGGATTTGGATTTTCCACAAATGTCAACGGTAGAAAAAGGCACGCTTCCAGTTGTACCGTTTAAGACTGGAGCTCAGTGTACTGTTGAAGTTTGCTGGGGGAGGGTGTTCCTTGTAAGTTCCTTTTCAGCGTGCACGGTTGACTCTTGGTTTTCATAAAGCTGCTTGTTTTTGGCTGGATGTCCCAGCAATTAGGTTTTGTATCTTGTTTGCGAGGCTGGACTTAGCAAGGCTTCTCCCATTTCATTCTAGAAGTATTTGGAAGTCCCTTGTCGCATGCACCACTGCGCGCGTGTGTGTGTGTGTGTGTTTCGGTTCGGTCGGACGTATGCCTCAACGTTGTGACATGTTGTGACTGGCAGAGTTTTCCCCGTTCGGTGCAAATGTGAACCCCCAGGGCCCCAGACATGAGTCCTGTGTAGGTCTTGCAATAGTGTTTTGCCCAATGTGTTTGCCCATACTAGTAACTTGTTGGAGCATGTTGTAGCATAGTGTTGCCATGCTATGCCATGCCATGTGGCATTGTGTGGCGAGATTCAAGAAACTTCAAGAAACACCAAGAAACATCAAGAACCATCAAGAACATCAAGAAACATCAAGAAACATCAAGAAACATCAAGAAACATCAAGAAACACCAAGAAACATCAAAAACATCAAAAACATCAAGAAACATCAAGAAACATCAAGAAACATCAAGAAACACTGAGGCCGAAGCAGGCACCGCATGACAATGCAAGGCACTTGGAAGGAGATCATGGCTGAGGTCAAGGCAGGGCAGTGGCAGGGGCCGGGAAGAATTGTAGCAATTTGATGCAATTTGCAGCACCCTGAGCTGCCAAGATGAGATGAGGTGATCGGTGCGTGCGCGTTCCCGTGGCGATTCAAAGCTATATTGACAAGTGTAGTTTCTTCCCGTAGAAAGCAGCAGCTTGAAACATCCTTATTGGGCCATTCCATTGTTTGGTCGGGACATGTCAAGAAGTGTCAGGGAGCTGGCAAGTGCCCGTGTTATTCAATTGAATTGATATTGGTGTTTGAGGTTGAGTGCCATCTTACATAGACACAGAGACTTTAAAAGCATCCCAAAAGTGCTTGTCATTGTGAAAAGAAAGAGAGGGAGGGAGGGAGGGAGGGAGTCAGTCGAAGTGTCCCTATGCAACTCCCGAGGCGCATCGAGATCATCCAACCCTTCAAGTACCGGCCCCCAGCCTGAGAGGATGCAATGCATTGTGAAGCTCAGAGGAAATTTGGGTTGTCTCTTTTGTGTCTCGGAACTTTGTCATAAGATTTCACAAGTTGGTTCACTAAATGATCCTGCCGAGCGCAGCTGGTCAAAGTGGGTCCCATTGTTCCCTCAACCTGCATAGAGTAAATGATTGTGCATGATACTATCTTATACTATCTTATAATTATACTACAAGGATTCATTGTCATAATTAGTTAAATCGGAATCCATCAGCAAAGAGTAGTGAGAGGCAGTGACAGTGACACGTGTTCTTTTCCTTACAGCCCACCCTTTGTGAGAGTGAAGCGAGTCCACTAAGTCACTAAGTCAGACCCAGCCTACCCGAAGGATCCCCCAAGCTGAATGTCTCGAGGTCTTTGGCTGTGATTTGATGGAACTTCAAACACGTGACTGTCCAAATCTTAGATTCGGATAGCGGAGGATTGTGTACACTAAACTGTATGACATTAAGATACATTGATTGATTATTTAAGATTGATTATTTAAGCATTACATCTCAAGATCCTTGGATTGCTCTTGTAGCTGTCCTGCACAGCCTGATTGTGGCAAGCCAACATGACCACATGGCCACTGCCAAGGCGAACACGACAATATTGAAGACGCTATTGTCTTCGGAGGTGCGAACTTGCAACAAGCATCAACAAGCTAAAGAGCATCAAGAGTGATGTTTACCATTGTTTACCCACTGTCAGTCGCCCCAACTCACTTCCACCACAACATGTGTTTCCGCTGGTTGTTTTGAAAAAGGCTCGCATTGTTCCTTAAAAACATGCCAAACACATCCAAGCACTAGACACCAAACACGAGACAGCCCAACGGCAATTGCAATATATCGCAGCAAGGCAAAGTCATGCACCTAAGGTTGGAAGTGTTCTCTTCCCTAAGAAACCGTAAGATTCTGGAAAAGTTAAGGCGTCAAGTTGCTGCAGTTTAATAGGCTGGACGCGACACGACGATACCCGATCCACTGTAGAAGGTAAATCAGGACAAGAGGTGAAAGCGTGAACCATCCAGAGTGAAGCCAACAAGGGCTCATGCAGGGAAGCAGACCGCAACAGGCGCTAAAGTTAGAGGTAGTCGTCAGGTTGTAGGCTCAAGTTCGCCTTTTTTGTAACATACGAAAATGGGATCCAATGCAGGAAAGATCGGGAAAGCATTTTTTGCTAAAGATGGACTCATGACACAAGAAGATAATGTGCAGACAGGCTTACTCTGCTAGCAAAGGAAAAGATGTAACCGAGATGCTGCAAAAACAGTTACTGAATTCGTGGATCTGTTGGTTCTCACATGTTCTCACATACTCGTAGCATCTCGTAGCATTTTGCATAAAAATCTTCAAAATCTCCAGTATCTCCAATGACATTGGCACAGGAGTGGAATCCCTCCTCAAGGTGCACTTTTGGGTTGGGTCCGGTTGGGTGCAGGCTCAGACATATTCAAGTGTGGTGGCAAGTCATTCAGTAGGAACTTTTGCGACCCTCCATCTTGATCCATCTTGTAGATATGCCACTTTCATTCACTTTCGGTTCCTTCGCTTGTATTTGCAGACATACGGGTGCGACTACCCTGGTCCACCCCTTCTCGTATTATTTTATCAATGCATGGCGCGCCCGATCCCTCCCCTTGTTTCAACCATGATTTTCAAATGCAACGGAATGCAAAATCCGCAGGTGTTTGAACATCACGCACAAAATCTGTCGGCGCTGTGCTTAGGGCAGAAGGGATGGTTTCGCACATTCACCTAAGCCTTCCCGGCCTTAAAACCACAACCCCGCATCTGACAGATCTAATTGTCTCGGGACTATTTTCTGGAAAGTGATACTTGTAAGAGATTGCAAGTGTTCCCTCGCATCCCTGTACTGTAGACAAGTTTGGCTTTACATTGTGACACATCCTTTCCCTATGAACTTCGCACAGTGGCCAGATCTACTCTCCATCTATCTATATATAATATATATATATATATATGATATATGTTATAATATATGTTCACGTTTTGAATTTGCATGTTTTTATTTTCTTGTCAATGCCAAGGTGCAAGAAAGATCGTGCGTGGCAGCTGCAAAGCTTGCAAGCAGAAGTTGCTCGCTCAAGACATTTGCTGCGTGTGTTTGATGAGGAGAGAAGCATTGGTTGGTAATTTGATGTAATTTGGTGGTTTTGGTGCTTTTTAGTTCTAGATTTCAACAATCTCTCTTCCACGTGCCCCTGTTCATTTGGGCTCTCGCCTTAAGCTCTGGGGTTTGGAGACCCTTTGCGGATTATGAGGCGCAGACATTAAAGCCATGTTCATTGAAGGTGCGGCCGCCCGTTTAGAAGTGACACAGTGCTACCCACGGGCAAGGAATACCGCTCGCCAAGCATCAACCAGCCACCCCATGCAGTCTAGACTCTAGACAAATCAAACCTATTCTTATTCGGAATATGTTGTGGGAACGTTCCAACAATGTTCTAGAACACTTCCACCAGTGCCATCATTTGTATTGCCTGTGCCACAGACCAGTTTGGAGGGCCAACTATTCGCATCAAGCGCATCAATTTTAAGGTTGAAAGATGTTGAGAATTGTTGAGAGATGGTGACCTTGTCCATGTGCGAGAACTGCAGGGCATTTGATCCAGCTGATTATTGAGATCATGGCTCTGCACAGAGGCGGGATTTCGGATTTGGTTGGCTGATGCTGTGTGACAGTGCTGAGGACATGGCATTTGCTCTTCATAGCCATACGCAACACTTGCAATGATGGCAATGATCAATAGCCATTTCAGGAACCTAACTTGGAGGTACCTACAATATGTAAAGCCTATGTAAGGGCTATGTAAGTTGATATTTATCCCCAAAATGTGGCTTCATGTGGCACAGTACCTCCAGTCTAGGTACCTGAAATGCCCATGAAATGATGGCAATGCTATTGTACCCACACCGCGGGACCCGGACTTGCCAGTTACCCAGCACAGCTACCCCGCATACCGCATACTTCCCCTCATACCTTGTAGAACCCCTGTTTGGCTTAAGACTGCGTTTACATGCGTTTGCCATTGTATTGGTGCACGCCAACGGGAAATGGAGCAAAGGTGGGCCTGGGATCCAGTCGGGCTCCACCACTTTTGGTACCATTTTGCCGCCACCTCGGCACCTGTCGGGAGGCAGCCGAAACACAAACACGTGCCAAAACCTTGCCAAAGTGGTGCCGGACTGGGTCCCGACTGGTTTTCCTCCAAGAATACATTTCCTTCGCCCTATTTCAAAAATTCGCCCATCCCCCCACCCAGTCTTAAGCCAAATACGGGCAACTCAACGCATACCGCATACTTTATCCCCAGAACTCTCCAGGCAGTGAAGCTCTGCAGAGACTGGCATGCCTCGTGCTACTGAGACAGGCCCTCAGAAGCTCAGCGGACTTGGCGCAAAATGGCGCAAGCTTCGGTGCCGGACTGTCCTCTATATAATTGTTTCTGAAGTGTGATGAGTTACATCAAGTTACATTGACTACAGTATAAGTTGATCAAAGTGACAATCAAAGTGAATCTCAGTCAACCTCAGCAACTCTATACCCGCTCTGTACTGATCCTCATTGATAATGTTTGACCCATTAATGGCCAGCGCATGGTGCGCTTCAGCATCCAAACTCAGAGTTGGCCCTCAATGACGGAAAGAAACCACCTCTTGTCTTTGGCAGTGAGCGAAGCACGGATGGGAGAAAGCATAATATGGAAAAGGATGCAAAAGTATAAGTACTTGTAGTGTAGGAGGCAACAGCGCACTGACCCAGCAGCCGGACACATCAAGGGAACACAGGAAGAAGAGGACAATGGGGGCACGAAAAAAAATGGTGACAAGCTTGGCAAGGAACAATTTGGAACAATTTGGAACAATTTGGAACTAGGTCTGCAAGATAGCGCACGACATATCACAACGTCAAGTCAGTACGAAGCATCCAGACTGGGACACGCGAAAGGTGCTCAGTGATTGAAAGGCAGACCAGCCCCTCTAGAACCAGTGGACGGAAAGAGGTGGGTGGAGCTCCCTTCTGAGGGATCACAAGTTGGAACCATTTGTTGCGGTTGGTTTTCACATCGCATGTCATCGAGGCTTAGTTGACCACAGCTTGGAGTGCCGAGCTGAAATGGTTGCCAGCAACTGCCTGGAAGCAGCTTGCACTGCTCTCAAGGACACCGCTGGATACAACTAATTGGTTGTTGCGTGCATTCTGTATTGTGTTGTGTTTTGAATTCGGGAGTGTTTTTCCTCTTAGTCTTGGACGTGGTGCATGGAGAAGACATACCACGGGCATGATGATGCATTGAAATATGGGAGAAATTGGGAGACGTATGACTGGGTGGATAAAATCCCTTTGTTTCCAAAATCCAAACATCGACCTCTTCAGTGGCCCTTCAGTCACTGCAGGAGCATCCAAAAGCTGTGGCAGATTTGCAAGCCCAGGCGTCCACAGCTCAGGGAAATGGCAACGGATGGCGCTCTCATCAAATGTGGCGCTCGGAAAGTCTCCGTCCAAGCTGTTTGGTTCAATGTTGCGTGTAACTAGTAAATCGTGTAATATACATATATATATATATGCACATTTATATGTATATATATATATGTGCATATAATTTTTGATAATAATTAAATTATATATATAGAGGCCAATTTTAAAGGTCATCGTAAAGATTTTTAATTGCGAAGACCGTTCATGTTATGTTTGGGAGCCCTCGCGAAAGTTTTTTTCGAGTTCGCGAAAGTAACATTTTATTCGCGAAAGTTTGATATTATGAAGCATCTAAGTTTAAGAAGTCAAACTTCCGACAATATGGGCAGATGGAAAAGCAGAGGTGGGAAGAGTCGGCGAAGAGAAGAGAAGAAGAAAGAAGATGAGAGAAGAGACAGAGTCAGAAGAAAGAAGATGCAACCTTGACGCAGCCACTACAATTCCGCAACCGCCCGCCGGACAAGCTAGCTCCCCCCACCATCTTCCGGGGAACATTTTGTCCTGCAAAGCAAGATTCGTGCATCCGCTACCACTCAAAAACGCATTTCGCGCGAGACGTCCGTCAAAAAGTGAAAGCTGAAGATGTGAAAACGAAGCTTTTGTGCGAGACTATTCCTTCAAAATCTGAAAGTGGAAGATGTGAAAACGAAGCTTTGGTGCAAGACCATCCCCTCAAAATCGGAAAGTGGAAGATGTGAAAACGAAGCTTTGGTGCAAGACCATCCCCTCAAAATCGGAAAGTGGAAGATGTGAAAACGAAGCTTTGGTGCAAGACCATCCCCTCAAAATCGGAAAGTGGAAGATGTGAAAACGAAGCTTGCGTGCGAGACTTCCTTCAAATTTTGAAAGTTTAAGTTGTGAAAATGAAGCCTGAACTGGCAGTTCCACTGCGCGGCCGATCCGAGAATGATCCCGGTACAAATGAACGTGTTCCGCAGCCGCCCGCTGGACAAGCTTCCCCATCTTTCTTCCGGGACACGTTTTTTTTTGCCCTGCAAAACAGCATTTCGTGCATCCGCAGTCTCTCAAAAACGCATTTCGTGCGAGACGTCCCTCAAAAACTGAAAGTGGAAGATGTGAAAACGAACTTTCGGGCGAGACTTCCGTCAAAAAGTGAAAGCCGAAGATGTGAAAACGAAGCTTTCGTGCGAGGCGTCCTTGAAAAAGTGAAAGTGGAAGATGTGAAACAAAGCTTTCCTGCGAGACTTCCCTGAAAAAGTGTAAGTTGAAGATGTGAAAACGAAGCTTTCCTGCGAGACTATTCTCTCAAAAACTGAAAGCTGAAGGTGTGACAGCAAGCTTTCTGTGAGATTTCTTGGCTGTGAAGTCTCTTGGCTGTGAGATCTCTTGGCTGTGAGATCTCTTGGCTGTGAGATCTCTTGGCTGTGGGTTCTCTTGGCTGTAAGATCTCTTGGCTGTGAGATCCCTTGGCTGTGAGATCTCTGGCTGTGATGCGATGTCTCTTGGCTGTGAGATCCCTTGGCTGTGAGATTTCTTGGCTGTGAGATCTCTTGGCTGTGAGATCTCTTGGCTGTGAGATCTCTGGGCTGTGAAGTCTCTTGGCTGTAAGACCTCTTGGCTGTGATGCGATGTCTCTTGGCTGTGAGATCTATTGGCTGTGTGCTCTGTGACATCGGTTTTACATCCATTGCCATTTGTAACACGGAAGGTAGACCTTCAAACTTCCTTCGACTACTACATTGCACTACACTACACTGGTTACACTACAACTATACACACTACCCTACACTACACTATACCACACTACAGTGCGCTACAGTACACTAAACTACACTATATTATATAATTACATTACACCACAACTACAACTGCAACCGCGTTACACTAATTGCACTACATTACAGCTACAACTCCATTACGCTACACTACATCCAGCAGTTTTGGTGAGGTGACCCCTGCAACCTTTGCAACCACTCCAAAAAACACAGCTCCAACCACCTTTCGGTCCATCAGCGGATTCGCTCTGCCATCCGTGATTCACAGCAACCAACCTCTCCTATAGGTTTCCTATTCTTGAAACTTCCGCTACCACCTTGCGCGGTACTACCTGTATTGTATACATATTTTTAGAGCTTGCAAAGGGTAACCTCCCCCGCCCCCGGAGCTCCGGCAGGAGAAGGCTACCCGAGAATTTCTTTTGGTTCTTGTTCACTTCACTGTGTTGTGCTGTACTCCGGACATGTACCTTTCCCTTGATAGGTAGCGGCCGAGCTTCCAAAGGTGAGGCTTCGTCACAGCCTGAAGCAGATCCTTGCTGGCACTGCCTAATATGCTTTCTGAAGTCTCAAGAAACAAATTCCACATGCATCCAGCAGGCAAGCTTCCAAGAGTGAGGCTTTGCCAAAGCAAAACACCAAGGCCCCTGGCGTTTGCTTTTCCTTTGATGCGCCCCCTGCTGATGGCTGGGGTCTCCGGATATAGGGGTATTTTCGCGAAAGTTCCGCGAAAATTCTGCAAATGAGCGGGCGAAAGTCAAAGTGCAGTCTGAAGAGGAGGTTGGCCCAGTAAGTCTTGCAAAAAAGTGCCTAATCAGCAACCATTTGCCCTGAAAGGGGATTCCGTGATGCTAGCTGCATGTTTACAAGGCTATAAGTGATCCGTGATAATTCGGCGTAATTTCGCAGGTGGTGAACGAATCTTCATCAGAGCATTGTTGCCCAACATGGGCCCTGCGACAGATAAACATGGAGTTCGCAAAAGTTTCACGAAAGTAACATGTTGAGTTGCGAAGGCCGGCCGTTCCCGGATAAAGGAATTTTGATCACCAACGACCATATTTTTGTTGGTGATGATGTCTCCTTTTCTGAGCATGTTACAGTCTTGAGGAGCATTCGTGGCGGTGTGTATCTGCGTGCTACACTACAGGGTAGCACTGAGTAGCATGCCCCCGTGCTTTAAGAATCTACGGTGCAGCCAGCCGGCTGAAATCCCTGGGCAGAGCCCACTGTCTCTAGCCAGCTAAGAATTTAAGCCAGGCAAATCTTGAAGCCCCTGGGCCGGGTTACATGGGAAGACAACAAGTTTGAAATCATTTGCTAGCATGATGCATATAAGGAGCTAGGGCCCCTGAACTTTAGCCAATACAAGCTTTTCTGTAGGCATTGATTTTGGGAAGATTTTAAAGAAGCAGGAAGTGGCTGTATCATATTCGGATGATTACTTCATCTCAACTTTTTGTGAAGAAACGACCAAAAAAGAAGGATCACAAATTGAAATCAAAGCAAACCATTCTTTTTCTGGTGATCCCCTGAGAATCTCGAAAGGTTGCCTCCCTATTGGGTTTGGGCAAATTTCTATGCCCTGATCCAACGTAATCCCTAGCCATGCCTTCAAGAAGTTTATCCAAGGGACCAACCTCCCCACCCTCCCCCCACTAATAGCTACAGGGTATGTTCAAAAAATCATGTGTCCAGCTTTTTGGTGCATGGGTGTCTTTCCTCAGCAGCATGCCCCAGGAATGGTTCCCCCATGGGTGTGGCTACATTTCTTTGCGTTACCCAAAAACACATGACTCACCAGTCCCACACGAAATTTGGCCATGAACCCCTCCCCCGACATTTTTCAGAACTACCACCGACCTGCTTGCTTTAGTTGAAAGATTCATCGGTGTTGGTGCTATAGTTTTATTATTCCTTGTGCCGACCAAAAATACATGACCCACCAGTCTGCTAGGAAATTTAGCCACGGACCACTCCCACACTTTTGAGAACCAACACCGACTTGGTGGCAAAGTTGGGTTGTGTTTACCTTTGCTTGCATCCTCTGCAGTCTGCAACTGGACTGCCCCAAGAGGTTGTGCTGGCAAAAAAAACGCCACACCCAATTCGCTCCGATCACTCTGGTGAACTGAGCGCACAGATGAACATTGCAAAGATGGCATACAACTACACAGCACTTGCCATATGTTTGGTTTTTCACAAGCATGTCCAAGAATCATTTGAGCAGATGATTGTAGGGAGCTTTGCTACCCAAAATAGAGGGCTGATGATAGCCCATGAATCACTACCCATCCGGCATCATGGAACGGCAGAAGACTTGGCCCTGGCTCATGTGTGTTCTTTCGGGGTTTCTTAAAGTTTTTTTGTTCTGCATCATTTCCAATCTATGTTTTGAGCTGAACCTAAGTTCCAAGAAATTTAGCTCTGACATTGTTGACTTAAAGTTGTGTTTTGCTAAATTTTCGGGTCCTAGCCCCAGAGGGGCTAGGGCCAGAGGATTTAGCCTGGGAAAAAAACCCATGAACCTCGCCCTCATAGAAATTTAGCCGGCTAAATTCTGGGTCCTACCCCTCGTACGTAGTAGAACCCTAGATTTTGAGAGTCCACGGTTTACTACACTCACCAGTACTGTTTTCAGGGCAGGGGGTTTAGGCCTTCTTTGATCATCCTGCCACAAGAGGATTGAGAATTATTGAAAAGTGCGTTTTGGCATGGGAGACATCGTTTGATTGAAGAGTCATTTTGTGGGACTTCTGCAGAAACATGAGAATAAGAACCCGCACTTTCTCTTACGTATTTTCACCATGAACACATGCCGGTTGATCCTCTGTCGGTTGGGAACTGGACTTTGGATTCTTTGAAGTTTTACGTTCTTGCTGTTGTGTGCTCTCTCCCTTTCAGCCTGATTCCTGCCAATGTCACACATGCCTACGCAAACACGCAGGGAGACTCTTGTGGACGAAGCCTTGTTTGATATTTGAGGTTGCTGCTCCTTTCGACCTTGGCTGCGGATGGTGTGGAAGTGCGGACAAGGCACGGAGTCGCATGGAGTCGTATAGTGACTGGAGAGTTGTAGCCTGTGACAATTGGAACCAATCACTCGCGCTGCGAAGGCTTGCTGATGCCGATGGACTCATGCTGACTTTGCATGCCATGGAGG